ACACATTTTGACAAGCAAAATGAGATGATTTTTATTTTATGTATTAACAGTTAACTGATTATTTACTCACTGCTGAATAATTCGAGAATACAAAAAATACTAATTTGTAGACAAGTAATCGTGTTTATTTTTAGTTACATGAAACAAATAAGTACAAAAGAGGAAACTTTTTTTCCTATCAACCTTTGTGCTTGGTTACAGTTTGTAATACATATCTAGAATATTGGTTTCTTTTTCAATTAGAACATCTTAATGATATGGTCACTTGTTTATGTTAACAAGATGAGACTTTGCTTTCCTCGTAATTTTGTAACATCTCTTGATAATATTTCATGTCGAGAGGTTTAGCTCTTTACAAGATCAGCAGTATATAGCTTTGTTTATGTTATATATGGTTGTAATAACTCGTAATATATCTGAAAGTACTGAATAAACCCTTTGTGATTTATTTTTGGTCGATTGTAATAAAAAAAGAATGAACTACAGTTTTATATCTACCCATCCTTAACAAATCATTTCAGTGATGTATTATTAATTTATGGCTTTCAAGTCTATTGTTATAAATATTTGCAGCAAGAAAAGCATCAGAATACACAAGAAGAGAACATAATTTGCAACTTTGTTATTTTTTAGTGAATTGGAAGGTTATATATTTCAAGCGTAATTATATTTAAATTACTGTTATATCATGCAGATGAAATTGCAAAAAAAAAGTAACAGCTTCACTACTTAAAATCTGTGATGAAAAAGAATAACATTTGCAAAAGGAGAGTTTTAATATAAGATTTTTTTGTGGTTTGACTATCACATATAGTAGTCACATGATTGATATGAAGCAGCAAATATAATTTAAATAACGAAGTGCAGTTCCTTCATATCACCAAATATAATTTTGAAGTTTGTCCAAGGCCACTGCAATAGATCGATGTTTATTTGGGAATTAAAATATGAATACACTTTATGTCAGGTAACAGCTTTGATACTCGTGTCCGTATATCAGCAAATGTGGACCAAGCATTTTCCTCATTTAAAATTACCAACAGCTGATTTACATGTGCAAGGCTTACCACATTACCCAACATTTTTCATTTTGCTTTTCATTGACCAAATATAAATTATTCATAGTGCAACTTAATTATTACTTTAACATAGTGCTAGAGATGTAAAAACACTTGCACGGTTTATTCATACACTGAAAAATTTTGTCATGAGTCTATACATGTTATTCACACAGTTTATGGTAAAAGTATATTCAGCATCACTTCCACTTTTCCTGTGCAATTACTGAATAAAGAAAATATATCGTTCAAGTGAGGACTGAACGCCCGCCGCTCTCAGGCAGCATAATTACGAGGATTGCGCGGGAGTTCAGGTGTTATAGAAAGGTTGGAATATGCGCTGGGCATTCCATCAAAATGGCATAATGAAATAGTACCTATAAATGGGGTAAATCAAATGACAGTCTTATTCTTGAGCTGCTTCTTCATCCCACGTTATTGTTTTAATACCGTGATTCTGTATTTTCACCGGCTTGTATATATTTCTTGTGTGACGCAAAAGGTATGGTATTATTCCGATTACGGTTGGATAACTGGGTCGCATGAAGGTAGGTATAGGTAGAGGGTAATTGTGAGAGTTTTGTCGTAAGGTGTGTAAGTATGATTGATGGGTGTACTTGACCGCGTGATGACATTTTGTCCGGTCGGAAAGTCATCTACCACTTCCGATCGATCAAGGTCGTTGGAAAATCGTCTTGTTATGGAAGACAAGTAATTCTGTGTAGATCCATGACCGGCGTTCTTAACTTTGTCCAAAATACGTGTTTTTCTGTCTTATTGTTTGTGCCCGTCTGTCTGTGTGTGTCTCTCTCTCTTTCCTCACACCTCTCTCTCCTCTCTCTCTTCTCTCTTCTCTCTTCCCCCTCTCTCTCTCTCTCTTTGCGTAGTCTGTCCTAAGAAATGGTTATGGCGACCAGCTTGGTGAAAGATATTTGTTTTGCGACTTTGTCGATGAATATGACAAAATCTGTAATTGTGTTGTCTGTCTTTCTTTTCTGTATATATATATCTGGAAGTTTCAATGTGAGACGTGATCTGTTAATACTAACTGCTTACATTGTTATCATTAAAAAAATGGATAATGTGTTTAAAGATACCTGTAAAAGATCATACGTAAGTAGAGTAATTGATATAGGCCTGTGGCTAAGAAGAATTTGTTAGTTCTGAAATGGTTAAGACTGTCATTTATTGAATAATCAGGTGTATGTCCAGAAATCTGATTCACGTGGAAAAAAAATCCAAAGAACAAAAATACTTGGATTTGGGAGTTCATAATAACATATCTGCAGAACGGGACTCTGTGCCCTTAGTCTAGAAAGTACGCCAATTCATGGCAGTCTATCACATTCACTTGCTCTGTTAAAAAATTGTAAACTATTAGCTCGTCTGTGTCTATCCCCATTTTCAGAGTTTCAGAGTTGTTTACGGAGGAATCAAGTCTTAGTGACTTGGTGAAAAGTATAATACCCTACAACTACGTATCACAATACCCTAAATAGGCATTTGGTTGGTTTAGTCAAGATTCTAGTCCACGTTTAGATCTTTGGTTGAGGTTTAATATAGCATCGCCTAGCATATGTCTCCACGGTAATCATTAGTGAAAGGGGGAAATTCAATTAAGTATCGCTCTTGTCAGTTTTAGGCCATCCATATGCCAGTTTTCTCTCCATACGTCAAAAGAGTGCAAAAAAAAGAAAATCTTTTCTAAGTTCAGGAAGCAAGGTTAGGGTTGATGTATTTATGAGATGTAAGTTTTTTAGAAGGAAGAAATAGGTAAACTTCCTTAAGTTACTAACGTGATTTATATGTAGTGAAGCCCGATCCCAAGATATTTTAGCGAGTTACTGGTGTAAATTAATGGATCTACAATCAGTCTCTCCATTCCATCTGTCGCCGGTATTGTTCCCACTGTAAAGGTTATTCTCAAGTCCAAGTTGCATGGAATACGAGGGATAAGACTTTAGCTATTGGTTGCCTTGGCAGGTGGCGTCGTGCACGGCTTATTTAAACAGACCCTTTTTATAGTTGATAATGGGCTTGCGAATGAACTTTAGTTTTCGGTCCTGAAATCTGCCATTTCAATGTAAATCGCAGATTACTTGCTACTAAGCATACCGCAAGAAGGGCTCACGGTCGTAGCCGTACTCATTAGCCCGTTGCCCCTCTCATGCTATGGGACTGGACTGCGATATGATTGTAGCAAATACCGCATCGTAGGTAAGCAGTAGTCGATTAAGCAAGCACCAAATAAAGCAGGTGCTTAGGAAGTCTGTCTTTTCACCATTTCTTGTCGATTATCTAATGTAATGGGACATACTACTAAAAAGATTAGTCAAGTTCACAATACATTATAAACTCAAGTCATCAATCGAAAATAATAATATAAAACATGCAAATATAAAATATTTCTTAGAGTATGTGTTCATAAAAGCAACGTGCTCTGATAACGCCAAGAAGCCTTCTGTTAAGAAATCGATTAAGAACTTACATAAGAATATCATATTGCGTGATACCGAAAGTGGAAAGTGCATGATGCCAGTGTTCCATCGAGTTTATAAGCTCGTAAGCCTGCCGTACGTCTGCATGACCTGCGTTGTAAAGTAACACTAAAAAGGAGGTCAATTTACATTTCTAATTAGTAGTCGCATACCGTATTAAGCTTTGTCGACTTAGGTACATTTATACGAAGGTCTTCTTTAATGAATTCTAAGGTAATGAAGCTTGAATATCAACCATGTGGGTCCAAAACTACACGTCGGTTTGGCGCATTACATTAGTGTAATTGACATATTCCTTGAACATGCTTCAGAATTAACACCCAGCATCTTGAGATCCCTCGTAAAACCTGTTATGATTAGTAACTGCTTCAGAACGGTTTAGATGTGAAGTTTCATGTAAATTGATCCGATCAATGTTTTATTTGACAGTATTAAAGTTAAGAGAAAAAAATGCTTCACTATTTCTCATCTAAAGTTGCTATTGACCAGATATATACACCATAATAATCCTTTATGTGCCAGTATCCCTGATTTATTGAGTGTCTCCTGATAAATGATACAGCAAGTGCGTCATACATTAAACTTTCATGACTTGTAAAGCACTCGATACATGCTGTCAGTGAACATCATTTATTAGGGTGACTCTGCATGCTCACATTTGTTTAGCACTCCTTGTACGACACAAGGCTATTCAAAATTTAGTTGCTTAGGAATGTGTAAATGAAAGGTCCTTGTGCAATCTATCTTTCTCTTATATAATTCGAATAGGTCGCTTGCAACGGCCGTAGTTGTTCATCTCTGGCGATTATCATTATCTATTCATAATTTCAAATACTAAGTAAATCACGATACATTCTAATTATTTCTAACACGCGTAACCTAATAAACTGGAGCATGACTTTTATATAAACGGAATGAAATTCTGTAGCTTTTCAGTCCCAATGGGGCAAGCACAAAAATGGAGTTCATCAAAGCAACCCGACGGCGCATTTCCCGACCAGACAAAAGGAACTTCATACAAATAACAAGTGAATAAACCTCACATTTCGTCACGTCTTTAGTGCACATCCGGCAAGGCTCTATACCTTCAAATCGCAAGAGAACCACCACACTTTACCGTTAAAATCGATAAGCAAGCAACACTGGATGCATGAAACTCGTTGTGACCTGAGCACCTCATATTCCGCATGTATTTTGAACGTACCGCGCTGGGACGGGAATCCTACTAAAACATCCTGTAGAGCCAAAAGAGAGAGAGAAAGAGAGAAAGAGGGGAGAGAAGGGTAGTAAAGTAAAGGGTAGTATGTGCTGGACGGAGAGAGCGGGAGAGCGAGAGCGAGTGAGCGTGTATGTGCGCGTGTGTATGTGTGTGTGCGTGTGTGTGTGAGTGTTGCGCGCGAGGGTGTGAGTGTGGCGTGTACTGCGCAGATGGCATTATGGGTAATCAGCTGCCATCTTCTCCAGCGCAGTTGTGGACTTGCTTTATTACTGTTAAGATGCGCGCTACTCGTGTCATGATGGTCACGCCGACACCCGTTCGCACGCGTTGAAGGGCGGTTTGGAGAAAGAGCAAGTGATACCAGTGTCATATAGGTGTGCATAGGTGTTAAGTATGCAAATGTTAATTATGTGGTTACCTGAGGGCGATTATGAGTGTTGAGGATAATCACTGTGATGTGTTATGTTGAGTCGCAAGTTTTCCCTTCTGTGGCTGCTGCTGTGGTAACTGTGGCGTTATCTCCAGCTGTCGCCGCCGTCGCCAGCAGCTGCGCCTCGAGGCTGAGGGGCTGTCAGACTGCCCAGAGGAAAGGAGGCTCCGGGCCAGGCCAAGACATGCGAGGAACCAGCTGAGGAGCACAGGTGAGGAAAGGGTTGTCACTCCTCACCCATACATCCTTGCAGTTGCAGACGGGCTTCACGTTGCACACGCGAGGGATTCAGTGTCTCTGCATTAACTTTAATCCCGTTGAGGCCGATTCGCGGTCATCGCACGGAAGGTCATGCGGGAGGAGGCCGCGGGTGACCTGGACAGGTGGCTGGGAGGTCATGTCATGTGCATGCTGGCAGAAGAATTGTGATTTGAGATTTGTTTTCCTGAATTATGACCGTTCCCTTGACTGTCATTGAAAAATAAGGCAAAACTTGGTGAGGTGAGCCAGCTTGGCAAGGCTGCCACATGTTGCAAATGCATGTAAATTGTCCCTTGATTAATGAAGGTTTTTAAACATGCATCTGCAACTTGTTTACTTGTTCAGGTGTTGGGAAGCAGCTCGACATGAGTGAAATCAAAGAAGACTTGAGCATAGGTCGAGGTAGAATTGTTAAAGTAGTGAATGATTAAATACTTCAAAACAGTTCATTGCTTATTCATGTTGGATTAAAAGTTTATTTTGAATAATTACATACTGAGCATTGTGGTGTTTTGTACAACTCTCATTATTGTTTTCACAGACACATTTCATGTATTTCTATGAATTATGGAGATTCTCCTAATGTTTTTATTACCACTTAATTCAGTTTACTTGTTTATTCACAATGAAGCTTGTACTTTAGACCTATTTTGTCCTGATATATCTTCATTAAATGTAGATTGGTGAACTTTAGTTAGAAATAGCAACATATAGCATTTTTGTTATTTGTTTAATTATCACAATAACTGCTGCTGATCTTTTGATATTAATGCCATCATAACTTCAAAGTGTATTTTTTTATTATTATTACTAGATCTGATACTGTTACTATTATCATTTGTCTTCTTTTTAATTGCCATCATTACTATTGTTTTGTTCATATTCTTTTTATTTTAGTTACTTGTAGTATTCCCATTATCATTCAGTATTTCTAATTTAATTGTTAGGGATTTTAATATTATTACTATGATATTATTATTGTTATTAATGTTGTTATTGTTGGTGATACTATTATTATTTATTATTGTTGATACTATTATTATTTATTATTGTTGATACTATTATTATTTATTATTGTTGATACTATTATTATTTATTATTGTTGATACTGTTATTATTATTATTATTGCTATTATTATTATTATTATTATTATTATTATTATTATTATTATTATTATTATTATTATTATTATTATTATTATTATTATTATTATTACTATTATTATTATTATTATTATTACTATTATTATTATTATTATTATTATTATTATTATTGATTTTGCTATTCTTGTTCATTATTGATATTATCATTATTATCATTATTATTATTATCATCATTATCATTATCATATTAATATATTGTTATTATTATTATTATTACTATTATTATTATTATTATTATTATTATTATTATTATTATTATTATTATTATTATTATTATTATTATTATTATTATTATTATCATCATCATCAATATTATTAGTGTTATTGTTATTGTTATTGTTGTTTTTGTTATTATTTTTTTATTATTATTATTGTTATTATCATTATTGTTTTTATCAATATTGTCATTATCATTATTATTATTATTATCATTATCATTATTATTATTATTATTATTATTATTATTATTATTATTATTATTATTATTATTATTATTATTATTATTATTATTATTATTATTATTACTGCTACCACTACTACTACTACAATTGTTATTGATATTACTATTAATAATAATGATAGTAGTAGTAGTAGTATGATTATGATAATGTTATAACAATAATAATGATATAATAGTTAAGGTATTTTTTATTGTTACTGTATCTATTGTTATTGTTATTATTTTTAATGTTACTTATGTTGTTAATACTATTGTTATTATTAATATTATTATTATTATTAATATTATTATTATTATTATTGTTATCATCATTATTATGATTTTGTTATTATTGATGTTTATTTATCATGATTGTTACTGTTGTTTTTATTATTGTTATTATTATTGATATTATGATAATAATCATCATCATTATTATATTATTATCATCATCATTATGGTTATGGGTATGATTATAATTGTTAATATTATTTTTATTATTATTTATTATTATTATTTTTGTACCGTGATTATTATTATTGTCATCATCATCATCATCATTATTATTATTATTGTTATTAGAAATGATATTATTATTTTTTTATGTTTATTGTTCCTGCAAAACTGTTATTAATATCATCATCACTATCATTATCAATAACGCTTTCATCTTTATTATTATTGTTATTATTTTTATTATTATTATTATTATTATTATTATCATTATCATTATCATTATCATTATCATTGTTATTATTATAATTATTTTTGTTTTTGTTGTTGTTATTGTTATTATTATTATTGTTATTGTTCTTGTCATTATTATTATCATCATTAGACTATTATTATAATAATCATTATTATTATTATTATTATTATTATTATTATTATTATTATTATTATTGATATTTCACCCTCATCAATGTTGTTCTCATTGTTATTGTTGTTATCATTATTAGTAGTATTAATGTTAATATATGTAATTATTATTATTATCATTATAATTATCATTATTATTATTTTTATTTTTTATTTTATTTATTTATTATTATTATTAGTTTTTTTTATTCTTGTTGTTGTTGGTGTTATTATTGTTGTTACCATTATTGATATTACTGAACACAATTCCTATCATAATTATCATAATTACATAATATTAATATTATTATTTATTGTTGTAATTATTAGAAGTACCTGTATTATATGTTAGTGTTTTATTATGATGATGGTATGATGATGATGATTTGTTTATTTATTTTATTTTATTTATTTATTTTTATTTTTTTTTAATTTATTTACTTATTATTATTAGTATTGTTATTTTTATTTTATTATTGTCCTCATCATCACCATTTTAATGGCTAATATTATTATTATTACAATATGGCAGTTGCTTTAATGCCAATTGGCCGATCGTTTTTATTATTAGCTTTTTTAATGACAGGATTCCAGTTACTTATCAAGTATTTGCTGTTTCCTGAAAAGGTCATGAGATTCACACTCATATTCAGAGACACTTTGGGCTCCTTATACGGATGGATGGCAGGACCTGCATCTTGCACCCGTCAGCCATTCACCGTCAAGCTGCCTGGTGCCACAGCTAATAAGGGCTGTGGTGGCAGTGGACCTCCGCCAGAAAGGGCGTCCAAATTGTCTCTGAATATGAGCGTCAGTTGCATTGTTCTTGATTTGGATTTTCTGTAGCGTCCTTTGTAGACTAACTATTATTGGAAGTAGAGTTTTATTTTATTTTATTTTTTTTCATTTTTTTATTATTGTTTTTTAAAATTATTTATTTATTTTTTGAGGGGGGAGGGGGGAATAGTCATTATTTTCATTTTTGTTGAAATTATTATTAATGATATTAAAACATCTGAAGATACCTTGTGAACTTTTTTGCAATAGTTGAAGGGACAGTTTAGAGGCACAGCAAAGTTTAATCTCATGTTTCTGCATTTCTGCAACAGTGTTGCAGTATTATTAGTATTATTACTGTGTATTCTGCAGTTGTTTTATGATATTCAGATCCTTGCAAATCGTTTATTTATATCTGAGTATCACAGTTTGCTTATGAAGGCTTTTTTTTTTACAACACTTTATATTCAGTTGATAAGAAATTCTACTAAATTATTATTATTGTAACTATACTTTTATCTTGATAATGGAGAGGAAAGTGGATAATGTGTATTCATGCAAAATGTTGCTTGTAATAAATGTACTTTTTATTGTACTGAATTAGTGCTCTGACAAATGATTAATGATGTATAATAACAGTTTGGATTACTCTTTCATTTAAAGGGGAAGTGTACATTAAAGGTCGTACAGTTGATGGACTGAAAGTGTTTTTAAACTTTAGGCAATCAACATAAATTTTACATAGGTTTGATATAGTCATGTGAATTGTGGGTTTAATTTAGCAAGACACGACATGGAAAGTAATGATAAGCATACTCATATCTCCACAGGAAGGAGTTGAGACATGTATTTTTAAATGGCTCTTGTTTGTGATATAACCACATCCACCTGGATATAGGTATCTTATTCAGGCAAGAATAGCAGGATATCTGTGACATTTCTTTCTATCTGCAATATCCATTTTTTGTAGTTAGTTTGATTTTGTAGGAATTATGTATTTCTATTTATTCTGTAGTAGGTTTACTCTTATCATACTAGGAAAATGTTGGTGATCCCTTCGTAGAAGCTCAGTCGACATGCTTTTTTTTTACTAGATATTAACTGCGACTTTCCTTTAATTTTTTCCTGTTGTTTCTGATGATGGATTTTCAAATTAATTTATTGGTGATATTCGGGATAGATGATTATAGTGATGTATAGATGGATGTTGTACTGATGCAGTACTGTAGCACTACATTTACCTATCTGTGTCATTGTATTATATTTAGTCTGCCAAATAAATGTTATATGTATTTGCATAACAATTTATCTCCACACACGCTTGATCAGAACTTCAGTGCATTTATTCTAGTAACCATATGAAATGAAATGAAATCCCAGGAACTTTTGGAATTTATAGAGTAGACCAACTTACTAGGAATTATGTGCTAACCCTCTTATAGATGTGCACATATGAAAGCACTCACTAGCCTCAGAGTAAGGAGATTAATGACATTTTGACTGCAGAAAAAATTAAATATCAAAGGGTATAGTTGACTGTAATTCAGAGTGCTATTACAGGACTTTTTGATTATATATCATTTTATGTGAGCTTCAATTCTTTCTATTGCAATGGATATAAATATATATGATGAGGTTGCAGATTCTTTAATCTTGGAATGACTCTGTTTCTGTTAAAATTTGTATGTAGAAGTATATAGGATTAAGTTTAT